CGGCCGATCCTTATGACATTTGGTAGGTCGGATTGATTGGCCAAATACAAAACCCATAGAAAATCCTAGCTTCCTAACAAACACCAAAGTTATGGCATTTCCGATCAATCAGTTATATGGCAGCTACAGGATATAGTCGGCCTATCCCGGCCGTTCCAACATATATACTGCGTGCAAAGGAAAGAAGGGTGTCTGCAAAGTTTCAATTCGATATCTTTAAAACTGAGAGACTAGTTTGCGTAGAAACAGACAGACGGACATGGCTATATCAACTCAGGAGGTGATCCTGATCAAGAATATATATACTTTATAGGGTCGGAGATGTCTCCTTCACTGCGTTGCACACTTTTGACCAAAATTATAATACCCTCTGCAAGGGTATAAAAAAATAACAAGAAAGGAAAGCTAACTTCGGGCGGAGCCGAAGTTGAAATACCCTTCAAGAATACTCTGTAAATTATATTCTCAAAAATTATTCATATGATGCATTCTGATCAAGAATATATATACTTTATAGGGTCGGAGATGTCTCCTTCACTGCGTTGCACACTTTTGACCAAAATTATAATACCCTCTGCAAGGGTATAAAAAAAATAACAAGAAAGGAAAGCTAACTTCGGGCGGAGCCGAAGTTGAAATACCCTTCCAGAATGCTCTGTAAATTATATTCTCCAAAATTATTCATATGATGCATTCTTAACACTCATAAAAATCACAACTTCCTAACATTAAAAACACCTTTGGAAATTTGGTATGTCAGATTAATTGGCCAAATATAAAACCTATAGAAAATCTCACCTTCCTAACTTTACAAACACCAAAGTTATGGCATTTCAAATCAATCAGTTATTTGGCGGCTATAGGATATAGTCGGCCGACCCTTATGAAATTTGGTAGGTCAGATTAATTGGCCAAATATAAAACCTATAGAAAATCCCAGCTTCCTAACTTTACAAACACCAAAGTTATGTTCCGACTTATATACTGCGTGCAAAGGAAAGAAGGGTTGTGTGCAAAGTTTCAATTCGATATCTTTAAAACTGAGAGACTAGTTTGCGTAGAAACAGAAGGCGATCCTGATTAAGAATATATATACTCTATAGGGTCGAAGATGTCTCCTTCACTGCGTTCCACACATTTGACCAAAATAATAATACCCTCTGCAAGGGTATAATAAAAATAACAATAAAAAAATAAAATAAAACAAGAGACAACGCTATAGTCGAGTGCTTCGACTATTACTCAGCTAAACAACTTAATATAAATATGCCTTCTTGTGTTTTTTTTTTTTTTTTACATAATGTGAATTATAGTGACTACAGGAAAAAAGGACAAAAAGTTCAAATTATCAATTTGAATTCGGCGATCTCTTAGTGCTGGCAGCTTAACAGCACGAGCATCAGCACCAGCGCTGCTTTAGCGCAGGCAGCTTGTGTCCTGCACCAGCAGCTGTGTTTATGTTTATGTTTTTGAGTGCAATAAATTGACTAGAAATATTAAACATACATACTTATATTGGCTAAACACATACATTCTTAAATAGTATTATGTATATTAAAGTCTAAGTTTGCACAACACGAGTAACGGGTATAGCGAATAGCTTTCATTGAAAGGAGTTATCTTTGCCGGGCAATTGTAAATACATACATATGTATATGTACACACATACGCCATTGTTTGACTCAGACCTCCAATTTGGCTACCTAGATTTGATTTGCATAGTTCTTGGGATATATTTCGGTATTGACAAATGAAAACCATCGCAATTTCCTTTAATAGAAATCCTTATCGAGAATTAACGTTGACTCTGTTGAGCACCTTGGCCAGCTGTTCCAAAGTCATCCGTTAGATGGCGCCATGAAAGGCGGAAATTTAGGCGCTAGCCAGGCTTAAGCGTTTAATGGGTTTTTGGGCGTTAGAGTGGGCGTGGAAAACTGTTATTAGGCCAATCGATATTTATTGACGAAACAAATACATATCAATAAAAATGTTCATAATATCATCAAAACTGTGGCCACAGCTTGTGGCTTGTGGGCGTCAGAGGGGGCGTGGCACCATTTTGAAACAAACTTGCGCTGCGTAGGAACTCCTAAAATCTACATGCAAAATGTCAATCTTCTAGCTTTTATAGTTTCCGAGATCTCAGCTTTCATACGGACAGACAGACGGACAGACAGACGGACAGACAGACTGACAGACAGACGGACATACGGACATGGCTAGATCGACTCGGCTAGTGATCCTGAACAAGAATGTATATATTTTATAGGGTCGGAAACGCTTCCTTCTACCTGTTACATACTTTTGCACGAATAAAATATACCCTTTTACTCTACGAGTAACGGGTATAACGAGGACGGAAGCTAACTTCGGCAAGCCGAAGTTTTAATACCCTTGCAGACTTTGCCGAAATTGCTAAAACTGAAAAACTAGCGAAAGGAATAATATATTCATAAATAATCTGGATTTGCATCGTTTGATTTCAATTGCTTTTATACTGCAAAAATGTCATATAAAAATAGAAAAAAAGGGATACTTTCGCCGCCTTTAACAATTTTTCCTACGGAAGCTATAAGATATAGACGTCCGAACGGCAAGCGCTTTTACCCTAATCAAGATATGCGTAAATAAATAAGAATTGGGAAAATATATGTCATAGCTTACACACTGCGCAAAAAATCTGAAAATCATCAAATTTGTACCGATTTCACCCTATTGTTCCTATGGGAGCTATAGGATATAGACGTCCGATTGTCACACGCTTTTACCCTAATCAAGGTATGCATAAAAAAACAAGAGAGAACGCTATAATCGGGTGGCCCGACTATCAGATACCCGTTACTCAGGTAAAGGGAGTGCGAGGGAGATGGAGATAGAAACTTTGATCACGCATAACTTTCTTCTACATTTCGATAGGTATTTTTAACACAATAAAACTGCATTTTTACTTTTCCGAAATATTTAAATTTTAAATTCGTATATAAGCGATTGTGGGCGTTAAAGGGGGCGTGGCACCTTTTTGAAACAAACTTGCGCTGCGTTGGAACTCCTAGAATCTGCATGCAAAATGCCAATCCTCTAGCTTTTATAATTTCCGAGATCTCAGCGTTCATACGGACAGACAGACAGACGGACAGACAGACATGGCTAGATCGACTCGGCTAGTGATCCTGAACAAGAATATATATACTTTATCGGGTCGGAAACGCTTCCTTCTACCTGTTACATACTTTTGCACGAATACAATATACCCTTTTACTCTACGAGTAACGGGTATAAGATTTGAAAAGATTTATGTTAATAGCTTTTACACTGCGCGAAATATCTTACATTCTTGCAAGTTATATCCGATTGTTCCTTTGGGAGCTATAGGATATAGACATCAAATCGGGGCGGTTTTCAAACTTGATCTGCGTACACATGTTTTAGGACGACTGTGAAAGTTTCAGATCGCTAGCTTTTAAACTGAGCTCGCAAACGGTATTGAAACAGAGGGACAGACGGACGGACGGACAGACGGACATGGCTATATCGAATCCTCTATTGATCCTGATCATGAATATATATACTTTATGGGGTCGGAAACGTCTCCTTCACTGCGTTACAAACTTCTGACCAAAATTATAATACCCTCTGCAAGGGTATACAAAATATTTTATTTTCCTGAATTACGCTTTTAGTTTTGTCAAAATTAGTAGTATAGGCATAGAAATCGAAAAGTAGTCGTTTTGTAATAACTGCAAAGGAATATAAACTTCGGCTTGCCGAAGCTTGCTTCCTTTCTTGTTCTTACTTTACTTATGTTTATAATTTGGCTTTTTAAACCCATTTTCCAATAGTCTTTTTATACCCTTGCAGAGGGTATTATAATTTTGGTCAAAAGTTTGTATCGCAGTGAAGGACACGTTTTCGACCCCATGAAGTATATATATTCTTGATCAGGATCAATAGGGGAGTCGATATAGCCAGGTCCGTCTGTTTCAATACCGTTTGCGAGCTCAGTTTAAAAGCTAGTGATCTAAATTTTCCAGTCGTCCTAAAACATGTGTACGCAGATCAAGTTTGACCGTCCTTTCGGACGTCTATATCCTATAGCTCCCGTAGGAACAATCAGAAATACCTTGCAAGAATTTAAGATATTTCGCGCAGTGTAAAAGCTATTGACATGAATCTTCCCAAATCGTATTTTTTTATGCATACCTTGATCGGGGTAAAAGCGCGTGCCGATCGGACGTCTATATCCTAAAGCTCCCATAGGAACAATAGGGTGAAATTATTTAAAATTTAATGTTTTTAGAATTTTTCACGCAGAATATAAGCTATTGACATGAATCTTTCCAAATCGGGTATAGAATTTAAATTTTTTTTCTTGCATTTTTTTTTTAGAGAATATTGTGTTAAAATTTTGATCCGAGTAAAACTTCCGAACTTGTGGGCAGTTGAACGTAGGTATGTAAGCGCGTTTTATATTCAATTTTTGGGTGGACCAAACTTTAAAACGCTCTCCTGAAAAGTTGCCATATCAAAGTCGGTGGACACGATCCTGCAAAAAATATCGAACGGATCGTTTCGAGATTTTGCACAGTATTTCTCTACCACATTCCTAAGGTAACGCTGTCGAGTTTTTTTTTTAATTTATTATTTTTAGAGCAACAAATAACTCGACGTTTTTGAGCGAAAATCGGGGTTTTTGACTTTCAAGTGCCTTAAAAAATCGTAAAAAAAAAATATAAAGAAATAAAAACTTGACAGCGTTACCTGAGGAATCTTGTCCTTTAACTAATGCAATTTGATTTTTTCAATTCAGATAATTCTGTGACCAGTTACCGTGTACACTGCAAAACGTGATTTCTTCTTTGGATAAAAAAATTCACACATGTTGTTTAAGTGTCATCGGTCATTAAATAAAAATTCTTTAAAAATGACCCCCTTAACTTTCAACTAGAACAATTACTCTCTACTTCCCATACGGATTAATTATAAATAAAGATGGTAATTACCTTGACACATATTAATTTTTTCGTCCTCCCTATTGTCTTGATTCCGACGCCAGCTCACTGTTGCATTTATACTTTCGTTATCATTTTTATCCATTTGGACTTCGGAAAGCTTGTCACTCAAAAAATCGTCTTCTTTGCGAGTCTGATCTTGTTTTCGAGCCAGAGCTAACCGTTCCTCTATCTCCAATTCCCTAGCTGCTGTATCTACCGGTTTTGCGGAGCCGAACACATTTACCGACAATGATCCACTTTGTTTAGCTGAATTTGTTTCAACGACGTCAGTTTTTTCGAAATCCAATTTATTCATATCTGGTAATGGTAGAGTTCGTGGTTTTAAATTTAACTTTGGTCTTTCTTCAAATTTGGATGTATCATCCCGTGAATATCGTTCTGGAATTCTGCCACGACCGTCGCGATATTTTTCAGATACTTGGTCCACATCTCTTCGAGTCGGCGAAGAATCTATAGATTGCGGTCTAGCGCTTGTTCGCCAGGATCCAGGGGTGTTAGTTTCTTCTCTTTCTGGTAAAGGTTTTCTTTCTCTATTAAAACTTCTGTCAAAATTGGAAGAATATCCAAAACTACTGCCATTATTTTGACTATCTCGCCTCCAATTGCCAGAGTCTCTATTATCTCCACTATTACCAAAGCCATCGAACCGGCGGTTTTTTTGTCGGTTTTGCTGATCGTTTTCATTGGATAGCTCAATTCTAATGCGACGACCTTTAATAGATGGATCTGGCAAACTAAGTACATGAATTAAATCATCTCGATTTTCTAACTCAACATAGCCAAAGCCTCTTGAACGTCCGTTTTCGCCATCTTCCCGAGGTAGCCTCAGAGAAATTAAATTAATACCTCCGAAAAACTCGTAAAGATCATCTTCATTGGCATCAAATGGCAAGTTATTGATATACGCAATAAACGGAGCTTTATGAGGAATAGAATTATCATCAAATATCCGATTCGCCCGGGGAGCTGTTGGAAGCTGATAAACTAAAGGCAATGAACTACTACCGTCATCACTGTCTTCGCCGTCTAAGTTTCGTATTTTTTTAGAGACTTGTGTAGTTCCGACTGGTGTATCAGCATCTGATAGGAACGATTGCAAAGATATAACGGTTCCTTTATTCTTTTTACCCTTTTTTCCTAAAAAAAAAATAATTTATTTAAATTTTTAAGTGGATATGTTTAAAGTAAAGTCTAAAAAAAATTAACGAACATTTTATATGGTTTAAGAGGAAAGCTAAATTACAATTCGCTTCTTATGTACAATTTAAAATAGGAATGTGAATTAGTAGACAACCAAAACATTCGTTAATAGTTAATAATTAGCTTTTCTAAATATGTAACTTCGTTTTGTGATTATTATAACATTGATTTAAAATTAATTTTCTTAAGCAAAGTAGCAACCAAATCCAAATATGTACATATGTTGGTATTCATGAAAAAAAATATAAGCACCCATCTTAGGCACATATGTACACATGTACGCTTACATTACGTGTCAAATATAAAACCATGTGGAGCGCCAAAATTTTATTTTCAATTGGCACACCCATGATATTTTTCTTACAGCTATACAGAAAACAAAATAAAATAATATTCAATATAATTAAATTTATTTCCAACCTGCAGAAGCCATTTCAACAAATATTTCCAAACAAACTTAAATTTCGACAATTTTACGAATGCACATACATAGAGGTCAATTTCCTTATATCGTTATCGAGATGTTCTTCCTCTTGGATGATTTAACTCAAACGATATTCAAATATCTTAACGCCACTTTTTATACCAGACTTGCACTGTTAGTACATCAATGAATTAAAGAACATGTTTTCGAGGTATGTTTGGCTGACATCATATATCAAGAAAGATCTATATATATTACATTGTTTTTAGATTTCTTTAGAATTATTTATTAGACTTATTATAATTATTCATATTTATTAACGTGGCTTAATGAAGGACCATGGACATACAAAATAATCTCATGAAGGTGTAAGGCTCCACACTTCGTCGCGATATTGTGTTATGAGTTAAGCCTAGTATTCAGATCGACGAAAATCGTACGCCAGTCATGAGAGAGAGCGAGAGGCAAACAGCTGGCGTTCACTTTTCGTCGGGCCTTTTTTTCACGTCGGTCCACAGATTGACGAAAAAAATACCAGAAAAATCCATAGCATTGCCACTCTGCAGATATGAACTTTGGGTGAACCCTAGCGAAAAGAATAAAAAATTTAATCTTTTGGCGTTAAACTGTATTTTTTTTTTAATTTCAATGTACAGCGGCAGACTGGTGTTGCCAAGGTAGTTTATAATATCTTTTAAAGGCTCTTTCCCGCAAATACGATAAATGAATTCTAACTGCTTGTCAACAAACCCAGCTGATTGACAGTACGACCGTAGCACGCTTAAATCTGATGAACTCTCAAAATTTTGGTCACACTGAAAATATTAAAGTTTTTACGCTAGCGTAATCGTTTGTCGATCTGGATACTAGGCTTTAAGACCCAAGCTCAGTTATTTGAACAGGCTTAGCATGGGATATGATTATCATTGTATGTAATTTGTTTATATTGGTTGGTAAAAACAATAACACAACCAACCTAACTATTTTGTGCGTACCTTTAAATGACGTGCAAGATATGGCTGACGGGAAACAGTAATTCTTTATCCATCGAAGAAAAATCAAAACAGAGAACAGCTGATTGCAACTTAAGTTATGTTGTCAGTTCAATGTACAACAGCTGACAGTTCAGCAAACAGCTGACGAACACTTTTCGTTTAAATTGTTCGTTTTTAATTTATTTGTATAGCGGCAGACTTGTCTTGCCAAGGTAGTTGAGAATATCTTTAAAATTCTCTTTCCCGCAAATACGATATTTGAATTTGACCTGCTTGACAACAAGCCCAGCTGTTTGACAGTACGACCGTAGCGCGATATATTCTAATGAACTCTCAAAAATTCAGTCACACTGGAAAGATTAAAGTTTTTCTGCTGGCGAAGTCGCTTTTCGATCTGAGTACTAGACTTATGTAATAAAATTGTGTTTAACGCTAGTACTCAGATCGACGAAAACTGAACGCCAGTCACGAGAGAGAGCGAGAGGCAAACAGCTGGCGTTCACTTTTCGTCAACTTTTTTTTTCACCTCGGTCCTGAGATCGACGAAAAAATACCAGAAAATTGCATAGCGCTGCCAGTCTGCGGAAATGAACTTTAGTTTACACGTGTGGACAAAATAACATTAATACCATCTGGGGTGCCTCTTGTCAGAGCAAAATCTTTCTTAGGTCAAAAATGTACGAAAAAACACAATAAAAGAGCAGCTATGAACTTTAAATTAGCAAATAATTATCAGTAAATTAAAAAACAACTGTTAAATTTAAATGGTATTGTTTTTTTTTAATTTCTTTGTACAGCGGCAGACTTGTATTGCCAACAGAGCTCGCAAATAACTGTCGACCGTTTCTTGTTGTCTGCAAATAAGTTTTTTTTCCTGACTCTTTACGAAAAGACTCAAAGAGCAACCGATTTATGGGTTCTTCAATGAGCTCGCTCGCGCTCAGAGCGAAACCGGTTTTTTTCTATTATGTTTGGTTCTGGTTGTTCCAAGACCGTTTTGTCGTATTCAGTTAAGCAAAAGGTCTATTGCGTTTTTTTCGTTAAGCGTCTCAAGATCTCAACAGAAAACATAAATGAATACAGCAAGAGTCTCTTGCTCAGAGCGAGAGCGAGAGAGTATGAACTTTTTCGGTTGTGATCGCAACGAGAGCGAAAGAAGAAAAATGGTCAACAGTTATGTGCGAGCTATGATTGCCAAGGTGGTTTATAAAATCTTTTAAAGGCTCTTTTCCGCAAATACGATATTTGAATTTTAATTGCTTGTCAACAAACCCAGCTGATTGACAGTACGACCGTAGCACGCTTAAATCTGACGAACTCTCGAAACCTTGGTCACACTGGAGAGATTAAAGTTTTTACGCTAGCGTACTCGTTTGTCGATCTGAGTACTAGGCTTTACTTACTGTGCTTTGCACCAAAAAGTATATTCACACTTTCGCGAGTTTCCTATCGATATCGAAGTTACAACAACTACAAAAAATGACTGCTTACACTAAGCAAACTCAAGTTTATGTATTGTTCTTTAAGCCTAGTACTCAGATCGACAAAAACTGGCTGCCAGTCATGAGAGAGAGCGAGAGGCAAACAGTTGGCGTTCACTTTTCGTCAACGTTTTTTTTTCACCTCGGTCCTCAGATCGACGAAAAAATAACAGAAAATTGCATAGCGTTGCCAGTCTGCGGAAATGAACTTTGGGTGAACCCTAGCGAAAAGATTAAAAAATTTAATCTTTTGGCGTGCGCTTCTCACTGAACATTATAAGAAATAGAGGGAAAAACTCAAAAAACTCGCAAAAGTCGATTGCAGGAGTTTACATGTGAGGACAAAATAACATTAATACTATCTAGGGTGCCTCTTGTCAGAGCAAAATTTTTTTAGGACAAGAATGTACGAAAAAACACAATAATAGTGCAGCTATGAACTTTAAATTAGCAAATAATGATCAGTAAATTAAAAAAAAACAACTGTTAAATTTTAACTGTATTGTTTTTGAAATGGTTGCTTTCAGCGAATAATGTTATAAATAACTTAAATTTTTCTTCTCAAGGCCCTTGTGCATCATTGAAATATTGCAGTGTAATACCCTCTTCCCATAGAGTCCATCCGTTCGAAACGGTTGGGATTTTTGACAAATTTGTAACTCCGATTCCCACAGAGTACATCCACCATTCATTCATTCTAGCCTGTTGCATTTGGCACAACAGACTGCAAGTGACCTACGCGAATAAGCAAATCGGACTAATATGTCTATTGCTATTGCTTAATATTGTCTAAGTGGGAACAAATCAAGTTCATTAAATATAAATATTTTTGTTTTTTGTTTTATTTTAATTTCATAGTGCATTTTATTATTATTGTCAAGGATGGCAGACAGCCAAGCTCAATTCAATGACATGATCTCGGTCTGCGCTCGCTGCTCCTCCAGCCTTTCATTATAATTATTATAATTTCATAGTTCATTTTATTATTAATGTCAAGGATGGCCGACAGCCAAACTCAATTCAATGTCATGATCGCAGTCTGCGCTCGCTGCTCCTCCAGCCTTTCTCGAGGCAGAGGGCCCAGGCAGAGGGCGCAGAGCTGCCTGATCGTTGACCTCCGCTGCAGAGGCTTCCAGATCAGCCAGGTCCACATCAAAGAACTTCACAAAGTATTCTTTAGTACCTGTAATTGTAAACCACAAATATAAGTCTGGGGGCATATTCTCATTCTCCAAGGTGTTCTTCTCCATGTTGTGAGTACGGTATACGCCTAACAAAAAGTGGAGCCACTCTTAATGCTGCCACACGGATGGAGCAGTAATTAATTAATTAATACAAGTATAAACAGCATTTATTGATTTGGCGCCTTCAATTTTCAAAAGTTTCCCGTCATATTATTCACTGTCAAGATGAATAACAAAGAGTTGCAAAGAAAAAACATCGCCCATCTATCGCAAAAAAAAGGCCGTCAAACTTAAATGGGGAACTAACCTGGAATTTTCGGAACGGCAAAACCTTATAGACCATCCGTTCAAAGGATGGTGGATGGATCTCTGTGGGAAAAGCCTAGTACTCAGATCGAAAAACGAGTATGCTAGCGTAAAAACTTTAATCTTTCCAGTGTGACCAAAATTTCGAGAGTTCAGCGTGCTACGGTCGTACTGTCAATCAGCTGGGTTTGTTGACAACCAGTTAAAAATCAAATATCGTATTCGCGAGAAAGAGCCTTTAAAAAGATATTATTAAATACCTTGGCAAGACAAGTCTGCCGCTGTACAAAGAAATTAAAAAACAATACAATTTAAATTTAACAGTTTATGTTTTTAATTTACTGGTCATTATTTGCTAATTTAAAGTTCATAGCTGCACTTTTATTGTGTTTTTTCGTACATTCTTGACCTTAAAATCATTTTGCTCTGACAAGAGGCAACCCAGATAGTATTAATGTTATTTTGTCCTCACATGTAAACTCCTGCAATCGACTTTTGCGAGTTTTTTGAGTTCTTCCCTCTATTTCTTATAATGTTCAGTGAGAAGCGCACGCCAAAAGATTAAGTTTTTTAATCTTTTCGCTAGGGTTCACCCAAAGTTCATTTCCGCAGACTGGCAACGCTATGCAATTTTCTGTTATTTTTTCGTCGATCTGAGGACCGAGGTGAAAAAAAAGTTGACGAAAAGTGAACGCCAGCTGTTTGCCTCTCGCTCTCTCTCATGGCGGACAGTTTTTTCGATCTGAGTACTAACACTAACCATACAACATATAGACTGGTCATTTCATACAACGAATTTGGTCACAAAATTTTTCAATCGGGAGGCCCCAGTGCTAGAATCAGCAGGCCCCGGACACTTCGTGTGCCTTCGGGTTTTTTTCGCTCTCGTTCTAATTCTTATTTTGACGCTCGCGCTCGAGTTCGGTCGTTCAGTCGCAGAGACGCGCATTTTAAAGAAGGTTGGCCTGCGCTTGAATTGGGCTTTGTATGTATGCGTGTTCATGCATTCTCATACAGGGGTGCATGTGTGCGATCATTTCATTTCGATGCAGCAAGAATATTTTGTCTTTTGCTACTTGGTACCCTAAGAATATGGGCGTATTCACTATTGGGTTAATGATAAAAATAAGAATATTATATG